AAATACAAGTATCACAGCACAGTATGACTGAAAAATTGCTTATTTTCTCATTTTTACCATATAAATGATCAAATAAATCACGACTCCCAGATTGAGAAACACTGGTATAGTATATAGAGCAGTATAAACAAGTCACTGTCTACGATGATGGTTGCATATGCTTCGATAATCAGTTTGGCAAGGCCTTCTATATCCAAGTTACACACATTTTTACACAATATCAGGCAAACCAGCTTGGATCTCTCACTATTCATGTCTCTGTACTAATTGTGCTCTGCATCATTTCACAAAAAAGTTATTTAACTGAGCTTGAAATTTGTCATTATACTGAGATTTCTAAAAATACCTTTCTAGAAAAACTTCCATTTGGCTTCCCAGTAAAGAAAAGGACTGTATATAGCTTGTTTGTTTGAATTTTGAGGCCCATGCAGTCCCTGAAATGACACTGCCTTGGTTAGTGTTGTGCCCCATTTCTCACAGTACTATCATGATGGGTTGGATTGTCACAGCCCAGCTCAGCCGCACAAGGGAGTAAATATTATCTTTTCCAAGTAGACCCCGCTGATATGGGGATGCCCCTTTAAAGGAAGGCCCCAGGACAGGTATGGACAGGGGAGTCCCTCCAGTGGAGGGAGAGGTGAGTGTCAGAGGTAGGGTTACCATACGTCCAGATTTTCCCAGACATGTCTGGCTTTTTGGTCCTCAAATCCCCGTCCAGGAGGAATTTCCAAAAAGCCGAACATGTCCAGAAAAATAGGGAGGCATGGTAAGGGGACCACCTCCTCCCCGGGCTCCAACTTTCCGGGTTCCCGCCGCTCTCCACCGCTGCGGGGGCCAAAGCAACTTCCCCAGCGCAGCAGCAGCCGGGGGGTGGGAGGGAGGAGGGGAAACGTGGGGTGCTCAGGGGAAGGGGCGGAGTTGGGGTGGGGAAGGGGCGGAGTTGGGGCGGGGGCAGGGAAGGGGAAGGGGTGGAGTTGGGGCAGGGTCCCGTGGAGTGTCCTCTTTTTGCACTATTGAAATATGGTAACCCTAGTACAACACAAAAATGCTAAAGAGGTACAAGACCCATCCGAAGACTGGTGGAAGTCAAATATGTGCATCTTCCAAGTAACTGGATGTATTTCATTGAGCTTCCAGAAAATAAGGAGGACCTTGAAACATTTTTATATAAGCAACTAATGACAGAAGAACCGTATGACAAAATCATCAGTCTCTGGTGGATTTCAGGATGAGGTTGAAATACAGTGCTCAACAGCAATAGTTGACACCAATCAAGTGTGTGCTCATCAGGAAGAAGCAGACACAAAAATGATTTTACACTGTCCACAATGATGCTGACCGTGTGGTTGTCGCAGCCAGGGACACCGATGTAGGTTTTTTCGGGTCGGGGTTGCTATAGCAAAATGACATGTAGGCAGCTTTGGATGAAACCAAAGTACTTTCCTCTTCATGCCATTTGTGAGAAAGTACAATATGGACCCACTGTTCTGGAAACTCTGCTCCCATTTCATGCCCTGACTGGTACTTCTTTTATTGCTGGACAAAGCAAGAAGACCTCATATAAAGTTTTTCAGCAACACCATCAGCTTCTAACCATCTTGTAAAATGTGACCTAGAGTCAAAGGAGGTGAAAAATGCAGAAGAATTTATTTATAAAATGTATGGCATGCCAGAGGACCACAGCACTGACAAAGCACGTCATTTTGTTCACACACATGTAGTCAGGGCCGGCAGGGGAGGGCGGCCAGAGCGCGGGGGGAAGGCAGTGAGCCCCAGCCGGGGCTCCGCTCTCCCCGGCGGCCGGGGGGAGGGCGGCCGGAGCCCTGGGAGGAGGGTGGAGTGCCCAGCCGGGGCTCCGCTCTCCCCGGCGGCCAGAGCGCCGGGGGGAGGGCGGAGTGCCCGGCTGGGGCTCCGCTCTCCCCGGCGGCGAGCCCGGCCGTGGCCCCGCTCTCCCCGGCGGTCGGAGCCGGAGCACTGCACCGC